CACTGATGGATGGATGGATGGATGAAGATATGGTGTGTGTACACACACACACACACACACACACACACACACACGTGTTATACACACACATAATGGAATATCACTCAGACATAAAAAATAATGAAATTTTGCCATTTGCAGTGACATGGATGGAGCTAGAGAAAATAATGGTAAGCAAAATAAATCAGAGAAAGAAAAATTAACATAAGATTTCACTCATATGTGGAATTTAAGAAACAAAACAAAGAGAAAAAGAGAGAGAGAAAAACCAAGAACCTGACTCTTAACTACAGAAAACTGGGGGCGCCTGGGTGGCTCAGTCAGTTAAGCATCCAAATTCAGCTCACATCATGATCTCGCAGTTCAGGAGTTCAAGCCCTGCATCAGGCTCTGTGCTGACAGCTCAGAGCCTGGAGCCTGCTTCAGATTCTGTGTCTCCATCTTTCTCTGCCTCTCCCCTACTTGTGCTCTGTCGCTCTCAAAAATAAGTAAACATAAGAAAAGAAAAGAAAAGAAAAGAAAAGAAAAGAAAAGAGAAGAGAAGAGAAGAGAAGAGAAGAGAAGAGAAGAGAAGAGAAGAGAAGAGAAGAGAAGAGAAGAGAAGAAAAAAGAAAAGAGAAACAAAACGAAACTGATGGTTACCAGAGAGGAAAGGTGTAGAGGACTGACTGGGTTAAACAGGGAATCAGGATTATGTAGTGCATTTGTTGCAGTTGAGTACCTGGTGATGTATACTATTGCTGAATCACTATACTATATGCCAGAAACTAACAGAACACTGTAAAAAAAAAAAATTCAAATGATAAAAAAAATAATAAATTTACAAGTAGAAGCTATGGGGGAAAAAGCACCTCAGATTAATTAAAACAAATGCACATAGAATACTTAGAATAAATAATGCTTAATACAAAGTACACACTCTATAAATCCAAGGAACTATCCATAAAACTACTGGTTTCCACTTGCTGACACCATACACTTAATGAGAGCCAGAGGTAGACTTGGCTCGCTACACATAGTCCTGCCCTAGGCTGGCTGAAACACATAAGCTTTTCAAGCTTTGGACGTGGTCTCTCATTAAGTCTCACGACAGTTCCTGCTCTTAGGTTCCATGAGGCTTAGCCTGGACCACGCTCTACTGGGTATTTATACACAAAGCTCAATGCTGTTATTCCCATTAATAAGTGAAATAACATCAATCCAAGAAAAATAAAAGTTAAAGTGGCATGTTCATTCCCTTGCTTAATATCAGCAGTTTAGATGATATGATATTGCTGATTTTGCCCCAAAAAGTAAAAGCACATAGGATTTGTAATGTTCTTAATTATTTACAAATTCTTTTATGGAGACGTGGTTGTGGGGGTGGAGCATCTATGCCTTTTATTTATTACCTAAACATTCAGTCTTTTCTCAGATCTTTTTTTTTTCCTAGCTCCTACTCTGTACCAAGGTGCTCATCAAACACCAGGGAAATATTCCACAAAGTAGACATGTTTTGCCTTCACTGAGTTTACCAGTCTAGTGAAGGATGCAGATCAGCAAACAACATTCCCATCATATTTTAGGCAACTAGTAAATTAAGATTTATTTTCTAGCTTTCTCAACTTTTATAAAAATTAATAACTCTACAGAAAAGCTTAAAACCAAATGGCTTTCCCCCTTTGAAACGGCTGAAATACACCTCAGTCAGCCTAGTACAAAGGAGCATTACATCAATACTTCTTTTTGTCTCCACCTGGTTGTCAAGTTTTCTCAAAACAATAGCCAAGCAATAAATGACAGTACTTTCCATTTGACTTTACTTTTATTAACACTTTTAAGAGCTCATTGACTACAATAACTATAGTGTAAACCAAAATGATTTGGTTAACAATTATATGTAGATTTACATTAAAATTATAGAAGATACTCCTGGTATTATAAATCAGTGCATAAATTCTTCATGCGCTTCACATACTAATATATTAAATATATGATAGCGATTTAAACTAATTTGATATGCCTCAAGTATGTTCATCTGCAGCATTTTAATAAAACTAAAAAAATATACGTAGCCAAATCTTTTTGGTGTCTTTATAAATAATGCAAGGATAACAATAATAAAATAATCTGTAAGCTTTTTAAAAAATTTTTGGTAGCCAATTTAAAATAAATAAAATATGAAACTGCTTCTACTTGTGGTTAAGAACATGAACAATGCAGAATATGAATGCACCAACCATCAGAGGTTAAAAAAAAAAAAAATCAGAAAAGCCATGAGACTATGGGATATTCAAAGGTCACAAAACTACAAAGAAGTAGCGTCATTTCCAAAGCTTAAAAAAAATGTAGTATTCCTTCCATCTTGATGTAACATAAGAGTTTAAGCTTAAAAATGCACTATGCAACTATGGTCGTCTCTGCTTCTCTGCAGCTTTGCTTTCCGCCATTTCAGCTATCGATGGTCAACCTAGGTCAGGAAGCAGATGATTCTCCTCCTATCTAATCATCAGAATGTCAATAGGAGTGTAGTGTCACAATCTCTACATCATCACCTCACTTCATCTCATCACTTAGGCATTTTATCATATCACACCAGCACAGTGGTGAGCACAGTATATTATGAGAGACAGAGAGACACACACACACATAGAGAGACCACATTCACATGACTTTTATTATAATATATTGCTATAACTGTTCTATTTGTTATTGTTGTTAATATCTTTCGGTGCCTAATTTGTTTTTTTTTTAATTTTTTTTTTAATTTTTTTTTTATTTATTTCTAGGAGAGAGAGAGAGACAGCGTGAGCAGAGGAGGGTCAGAAAGAGAGGGAGTCACAGACTCTGAAACAGGCTCCAGGCTCTGAGCTGGCAGTCAGCACAGAGCCCGACGCGGGGCTCGAACCCACGAACCGCGAGATCATGACCTAAGCGAAAGTCGGAAGCTTAACCAACTAAGCCACCCAGGTGCCCCCTCGGTGCCTAATTTGTAAATTAAACTTATCATCAGTATGTATGTACAGGAAAAGGCACGGCATATATAGGGTTCAGTACAATCTGCATTTTCAGGGATCCAATGGGGGTCTTAGGATGTACCCACTATGAGTAAGGGGCACTACTGTAACAGTGTTAAGATAAAATTTATTAAGAACAATCATTAACATTAATCGATCATTTATGATGATCCAAAACACTGTCCTAAGTGCTTTAAACTATTTTAATCCTCACAATCACCTTATTACTACTCCCATTTTTACACAGCATGAGGAGATTAAGTAATTTGTCCAAGGTCACAAAGCTACTACTAAGGGATAGAACCAAGATTCAAACCTCTTAACTATTTTGTTCTTCTGGCAAAAATAGCAGAATATGTTCTAAAATTTCAACCTCAATCAAAAATAGAATTCATGAGGTCTCATTACGCAATTTCCTAGCTTGAATCCTTAGCGTCTCTGAGCGTGTAAGTGAAGAAGGGGGGGGCCCTTAGTCCAGAATTAATGGAGATGGAGGACAGGGGAAAACATTTCTCACTGATTAACAGAATAACCTGTTTAACTGATAGATACACTAATCTTTTGGTAAAGATTTATTCCTCCATCAATTGTCGGCTTCATTTTATTGTTCCATGGGTCTTAAGTGAGCACTGCTTAATAATGCCAATACAACTAACTGTAAGTGCAAACACAGGAACCCAAACTTCATGGCCAATAGAAGACTGCAACTCAGCTAACTAAAATATGCTGAAGCATATTTTTAAGATTCCAATACAGAAAAATAGTTTAAATACAACATTTAAATACGCTGACAAAGAATTCACATAATTGCCTCAAAATATCTTTAAACTCAGCTGCTGAGAACAGTTACATATAATGAGATTTAAAGATAATCGGTATTACTGAGGACTTCCCCAACCCCTAACTTCTTAACTACAAAGTAGTTATTTGTCTGCAAACAGGATAATGTAAATGAAATGAGGTGGTAGGTCAGCAAAGAAGCACATCAGAATGAAATCAGAATATTCTGTAAATCTGATGTTTGTTTCTTACGCTTTCCAAAGCAGTTCAACGCACAACATGCTCCAATGTAACCTAACCACAGGCCTATCACCTGAGCGTCCTTTCAGGGCAATATATTTAAAAAATAATAGCCTCATTAACAGTACATTTAGTATTTGGCAATCAAATCAGGATTTTCTTCCTTTTAAACTGAATATAATTCTCATACAGTCTCACATCAGTTTTACGGGTGAACAGACCTAGAGGGTATCTGCTAAGTGAAATAAGTCAAAGACAAATACCATGTGATTTTACTTACATGTAGAATTTTTTTTAATCTGTTACTTTTTAAAAAATCAGTAAAACAGTTTTTAAAACATTCAACAGTATTCAGCCTAATAATTTCACTGGATGACAGGAAACTAGGCAAATAAAACATTCCTAAAAATAGTATTTCAAGTACATAGTTATTAATAAAACTAGCAGAACAAGAAATGGAAAAAGAAAAGGAAGAAAAAAATACAGAAAACAGGAACAATATACTTTAACGTAAAATGTGAAATAAACCTAAAATCAACACAAAGTGTTAGTGAAAACCAAAATGAGTATCATATAGCTACTTATAGCTTTCTTTTGCTGCTTCATAGCTCTCCCAGTAATCTGGAAGATCACTTCATCGTTCATTTAAATCTCATCAAAGGAAGCATTTTAGATTCTTTTTAAGTTTAATGATGTATCTTTATATCTACAATATTACAGTGTGACTAATTTCCAATGTGGCAGCTTTTCAACTGTAAATACCAAAGTAAGTTAACACGATGGCCTGAGAGATACCTTAGTCGGCTCAATGAAAACTCGTGATAATCAACAAGAAAAAATTATGATAACACCTTTAAAAAGTTCAAAGGTTTAACATAGGAAATGATATTCAGTGCTTTACGCACAAAAGTTCGGGGCACCTTGTTATCAGAATGCCAAAGTATAAGTAAACTATTCACATAAAGACTTGCCCCATGGACTTACCTTCTTTTTATCCCTCATTGAGCCTTTGCCTCGGACCATTATTTTACATCCTGTTTCTGCTTCAAGCTGTTTAGCAGTAAGTCCTCTAGGTCCAAGGATTCTTCCAACGAAATTAAACTGGGGAAAAAAAAAAGTCACCATAGATTATTCACTTGCTTGAATTTATAGCTTTTAAAATTATTTTAAAGTACATTTTTACTGGGGCGCCTGGGTGGCTCAGTCGGTTAAGCATCCGACTTCGGCTCAGGTCATGATCTCATGGTTTATGAGTTTGAGCCCCGCGTCCGGTTCTGTGCTGACAGCTCAGAGCCTGAAGCCTGCCGCAGATTCTGTGTCTCCCTCTCTCTCTGCCCCTCCCATGCTTACTCACTTGCCTGTGCTCTCTCTCTCAGAAATAATAAAGTAAATTAAAAAAAGTAATAAAATACATTTTTACTTTGTCAAGTTAAATATTTAACAAAAAAAATTGTTTTAAGTGTACTTATTTTTGAGAGAGAGAGAGAGAGGCAGCGTGAGGAGGGAAGGAGCAGAGAGAAAAAGAGAACAAGATCTGAAGCAGGCTCCAGGCTCTGAGCGGGTTCGAACTCATGAACCATGATGAGATCATGACCGGAGCCCAAGTCAGACACTCAAGTGACTGAGCCACCCAGGCGCCCCAGAAGTTAAATATTTTTCAATACCAAGATGAAATAAAGCCTTAAGAGTACTTATGAATTTCTGACACAGTTTAAGGGTGTAATTACAAGAGATCATTATTCATCAAGGAGGTTTCATATGTATTAATATAAGTTACAAATTAGGAACAAACAACACTATCTATGTAAACAGGTGCTATACCAAACTGTTCATCAACATGTAATCTAAACCAGAGTACAGTATAGTAAAAAGTTTGACAAAATCCTAGATGCCACCCCAAGAATACCAATGCCTTCTACAAAGTTCTGTAATGTCAGCATCCAGAGAATTGTTCATTATGTTACATGTAACTGCATTTTTTACAGAGGTTCTCGGGAAACATTCTGGTCTCATTTTCTAACAAGAAAAATAACACTTTCTCCAAAGCAACTATTTAGAGAGAGCTGTAGTTGTGGGTTGGCTGCCATAACACTGACAGCCAAATCTGGATTCCACCCTGTACTACTTCAGTCTTTTTTTTTTAATTTAATTTTTTTAATGTTTATTTATTTATTTTGAGAGAGAGAGAGAGAGAGAGTGTGTGTGTGTGAGGGAGCGTGAGTGCCAGAGGGGATGGTGCAGAGAGAGATGGAGACACAGAATCCAAAGTAGGCTCCAGGCTCTGAGCTGGCAGCAGAGAGCCCGATGAGGGCCTCGAACCCACGAGGCGGGAGATCATGACCTGAACTGAAGTTGGATGCTTAACTGACTGAGTCACCCTGGCACCCCTAAGTATTTCAGTGTTGAGAACATAATATTGTTTCCACAATTTTATGTCTGTAACCTTATTTTTTTTTCATTTCTAACTTCAACTTATACTAGCAGTTTTGCAAGGAGCGTTAATGAATCAATGATAAAAATAACTGTATAAATAATTGCCATTCATCAACAGAAACTTCTAGTACAGGGGCACCTGGGTGGCTTAGTCGGTTAAGTGTCCGACTTTTGCTTAGGTCATGATCTCGCGGTTCGTGGGTTCGAGCCCCGCATCGGGCTCTGTGCTGACTGCCAGCTCAGAGCCTGGAGACTGTTTCAGAGTCTGTGACTCCCTCTCTCTCTGACCCTCCTCTGCTCACGCTGTCTCCCTCTCTCTCTCTCCTAGAAATAAATAAAAACATTAAAAAAAATAACTAAATAAAAAAAAGAAACTTCTAGTACAAAAGCCAATGGGAAGCACAGATGGACTCAATACAGGAAAGTAAAATTTCCTCATTCACATGTCAACTGCACAAAAGACAAAAACTGAGTATCCTCAATTACACAAAAACCCACGGTGGTTTTTATTTACTGATTCAAATAAGTACCAATTCTTATGTTTACAGCTTCCTATTTTTTTCTTGCATTTGATCCTACTATTAATACATCATTACATAACAGTAATTATGTAGCATTCACTACTCTAAGGCCTTAAGAAACGAAGGCACTTCTTCAATCTACTGTGTTCCCACGGCTTTTCACATTCCCTCACGAAGCTGCTCCCCAACACCACCACATCTTCCAGGTGAAATGCAATGCAAAGCAAAGACAGCTGGGAAAAAGCCCCCTTCCATCAGAGCATTTGGATACAGCTTTTTCCACCTCAAGTTAAGATTCACAGATTTACCCCGTAAGCACTTAATCTAGCTCTACAAGATCCCCAATTCTGAAATTAGCCTTTATACTGAAATAAAACCCTTATCCTTGCCTAGTTCCTTGGCATATAGTATTTTATCTACCGGTTTCGTCAACATCAACCCCTGCCGTCCTCCATTTTCACAATGCATCTCCAATTTGAATAAACTCAAGAACTATACTATGCTAAAGTGTTTTAAAAACTCTGAAAGCACAGAGATCCCAACAGGTATCAAGCCACAATACTCAATAATAATTAGGAATTTGAAAGTCACATCAAATAAGCCTCAATTATATAATGGAGAGGACACTATCTGGCAGAGCTGCACTGAGCAGTACATGTGTGTGCAACACAATACATCTAAGAGGTTCAATACAAGGTCTGGCACAGAGTGGACAACTAATAGCCTACCAAGTCCACTACAAATTCACTTTTGGAAACCTCAGGCCCTCAATCCAATATCCAGCTTAGAATGTCCACAGGAGGGGAAATGATCCATCACAAATCTGCCTTACACAACTCCAGAGAAACTCAACACTCAATGAGTTCTGCAGAAAACCACAACAAGAAGGTGGAGATGATGAGCAAAACAACAACAAGCAGGATCAGGGATCTGACCTGCCGGCAACAGGCTTGAGTCCTGTCTCCAAGAACAGCACCTGGCTGCCTTCCTGAAGGCTGACACTTCAGGTGATCACATCACACTGAGGCTTGCAGTCGAGCCCAGTTCATGAACATGTAAGTTCCCAATTCAAATGTTCAGCGCTTCATACTTAAATTAAGAATAGACAAAGCAGGTTCACAAAAGACTTCAGAAAATGAAAGAAAGAGATGGCACCAAATAAACAAACAGGACAAGGGAGCGCTCCTTGAGGGAAAAGACTGTTGGCAAAGAAAACCCAGAAAGAACTCCTTTAATACACAGTCCTAAATCATTTTCTTAAAGGACTGTACACATTCACATTCCCAAAAGAAGGGAATAAGAATCTGTTTGGATCCATCTCCTCTCTAGCACTTCTTATTATCCATGTTTGTGATTTTAACCATTCTGGTGCACTTGCTGAGTATATGAATTAGCATTCTCCTGATAACTAAGAAAGTTTATCATTTTTTTCATGTTTATTGGCCATTCAGAGCTATACTTTTTTTGAAGTGCACTTGAAGTTTCTAGACTATTTTTCTATTTTGTTTTTTCATTTTATGAATTGATTTCTACTTTGTGGTTACATTTACAGCAAATACTTTTTCCCATCCTGTGGCTTGCCTCCTCTTTCTTTAATGGTGTTGTGTAACTAAATTTAGTTGGATTGAATTAATTTTCATGTAGCTCAAGTGATCACTCTTCTCTTCAGGGTTAGTGAGGTCTCTCCCCATCCTAAGATCATCAAAATATCCTTCTGTATTAACATTTAGAAGCTTTATTGTTCTTTCACAGTTATTCCCCAGTGTACCAGGAATTAATGTCTGTGATGGTACAGCTTCTTCTCTTTCCCTCACATGGACACCCAATTGTCCTACCACATTGTATTGAAAAGACTATCCTTTCCAATTACTCTACAGCACCATTATTGTCATAAACAAATCTATATATACTTGGGTCTGTTTCTGAGTTCTCTATTTTATTAATCTATTGTTTATCCCTGCTTTACTATCCACTATATTGGGGCACTTAGGTGACCCAGTTATGACCTCAGCTACGGTCTCAGAGTTATGAATTCAAGGCCTGCATTGGACTCCATGCTTGGTGTGGAGCCTACTTCCAAAAAAGAAAAAAACAATCACACTGTATTAAAATGCACTGTATTATTTATTGTAACTTTATAATAAATCTTAATATGCAGTACAGTGCACTTTGCTCCTAAGAGTATCTCAGCTATTGCCCTTTGTGTTTCCGTACAGATTTTAAAACCAGTTGGTCAATTTCTAGAATTATACAGACAGTAATTTTGAGATATTATAATAAAGACGTCAAAGTCATGAGCATGTTATAATTTCTTCATTTGGTCAAGTCTTCTTTAATTTCTCTCAAGAATCTAAGGCTTTTTTACTGTGACTTTACTCATTTTTATCAGACTTATTCCTAGATATTTGGAAGTTCAATTTTGCTACTGTATATATTTTTTCATTTTTGTTTCTTGCAATGTGAACACATAATTGATTTTTCTATATTAAATCTTACATCTAGCAGCTTTTTATTTTATCAATTCTCATAATTTTTCTGTAGGTACTTTTGGATTCTTTAGATAAACAAACCTATCATTTGCAAACAATGACTGCTATATACCGTCTCCAGCCATATGGCACTGCCCAATACAACCTGAGTTCAAAGTCAAAGAGTCAATCATCCTCTTATTCCAGATTTCGAAATTAAAGTTTTCAATGGCTCACCCTAAAGTCTGAAGAAATCTGCAGACTTTTTGTAGATATATTTTACCAGATTAAGAAAACTTCCCTCTATTCTGTAGTTTGCTGGGTTTTTTTTTTTTAATGTTTTTTTTTATTTTGAGAAGACAGAAAAGAGGGGGGAAAGGGGGACAGAGGAGAGTGGGATAGAAAAAAAGATAGACAAGGAGAATCTTAAGCAGCTCCATGCTCAAAACAGAGTCCGATGTGGGGCTCCATCCCACAAACCATGAGATCATAACCTGAGCCAAAATAAAGAGTCAAATGTTCAAACCAATGAGCCACCCAGGCGCCCCATGAAGTTTTTTTTTTTATTTAATCATAAGTGGATGTTTAAATTTACCACATTTCTTTACCATCCATTGAGACAACCCTAATATTTCTCTTCAATTCTGTTAGTGAAGTGGATTACAATCAATTATCAAAT